TATGTATCAGCTAACTAATAATGTTCTGCCTGGCCACAGCCTTTGTACAAAGGATTGTTTTATTGGGGGTGGGGGTAGTGTAAGCACTCTCTCCAACCACTCCCCCTACCCCGACCCCTTCCCCTTTCTGCATATTCCCAATGCTGAGGGTACTCTGGCCCCCAAACTCTTCAGGATTAGAGCCTTTTTACATTCCCTGTACCTGGCCTGCTAGCCTCCTTTCCCACACCAGCAGGGCCCTTGCAGGCCTACCTCCCTAGTGGCCTGGGGAGGAGAGAAGTGCAGAGTAGAGGATAAAGGGTTAGCCTAGGCATGAGCCTCAGCTAACGTAAAACAATAATATGAGGCCAGACACGGTGGCTCACAGAGGCTGAGGCAGGAGAATTCCTTGAACCCAGGAGGTGGAAGTTGCAGCGAGCCGAGATCGTGCCTTTGTACTCCAGCCTGGGCAACAAGAGCGAAACTCTGTCTCAAAAAATAATAACAATGATAATAATATGAGTTGTTTTCAACTTATTTATAATAATAAATTTCAGCGTCCTTAAGGATCCAATTCTTAATGTGTCCTTGATTTTTCTCTTAAATTGGCTGTGGGGTCATGGAAAAGATTGCTTTCAAGTAAGGGAGACTGAGGCAGAAGGATCACTTGAGCTCAGAGGTTGGAGTTCAACCTGGGCAACATAGTGATACTCCATCTCCAATAAAATTTATGGAAAAAAATTGTTTTTCCTTATTTAAGATCCAAATTCCAGCCGTTCTTTGCCATAGAGATAAAAAATTAAGTGGCTGCCTGACCTTTTGCCAGCCCTTGTGGAGAAATCAAGCCCCTGGAAACAGGAGATGCCTGGTTTATCTCAGCTGCCCTTGTCTCCAGGGTGACAGTTACAAGCCTGTCACTGCCTCCTCACAAGACTCCTTGAGGCCTGAAAATTGTTTATCAGGCAGATCGTTTGGCTGTAGGAAATAAGGACATGTGGACAAACATAATTTGGGATGGATTTAGACTTTTTGGCTCTCTGGCAAAAATAATTTCAAATTACCATTCTCCCTGCCCTTGAATGTATCGTCAGTATTTTGAAATTTTGTGTTTATAACAGTTTACTGGAAAAGTTATGTTGATGTGTTCCCATTGCACTGGAAAGGAGCTGCCTGTGTTGCTATATTCTCAACATCTTTCATGAGTCTCTAAAGCCTAGAAGAGTTAATTGAGTATATTTTCCCTCCGATTTCTAAAATATGCTACATGACAGAAAAAGAAATTTCAGTGAAACATAAGAAAGTAGATATTACTTGGCTTTTGGAGATTGTTGATTATTTTGATTAGCCCTTTTTTAAGGCAGTAAGAGAAAACTCAAAAGAAAAAAAAAAGCTGAGAGAAGGATAAAGGAGGCAGAAGAGGGACACAATATACTGCTTTCCACTACTCCCCACTCCTCAGAGAGGAGTATTTGAAGATGTACGAGACAGGCATCCGTTGAATTCCTGCAGGCTTCACAGAGCTGAGCACAAAGGGCTGGCTCCTGTCTGTTTTCATGAGAGTGGGCTGGCTATTAGAACACCAAACAAAGGAGGGGCCAGGTGATTCCACAAAAGCAGCCATTTGGATGGAGTATAGAGGTTGATTTCCTTTCCTGCCTAACTCTCCTGTTGCCAGATATCTCAACCCCAGCGTTGGCCTTAAGTTGATCCATGTTTCCCTTGATCATGCTGATCTGCCCTGTTGTTTTTCTTGTTTTTTTGTTTTTTGTTTTTTTTGAGATGGAGTCTTGCTCTGTCGCCCTGGCTGGAATGCGGTGGTACTATCTTGGCTCACTGAAACCTCCACCACCTGGGTTCTCCTGCCTCAGCCTCCCGAGTAGCTGGGATTACAGGTGCCTGCCACCACACCTGGCTAATTTTTGTATTTTTAGGAGA